GACATTTTGCGAAGAGCTTTCTCCAAGTGATACACGGTACAGGCAAAACATCTCGATGTTGCCTAAAACGTAAATGTCTTTTCGGAGTTTTGTGAGTGGTGGATTCGTATTGGTTTCGTGACACGCGTTCACTGAAGCTTCGTCTCGTGTTCGGATGAATGGACGGTGATACGCTACAAAATTTGCCTTGCAATCATCTTCTTTTTTTTCCAAAATATCCTGTACGAGTCGTATTAATCGAAAAGGATCGCGCGGATCTTTACCGGAGAAATGAAAAGCTCCGCTGGTGAGAAAGAGGTAGAAAAATGCCGTCTCGCCCGATATATATTCACGGATAAAAAAGATCTGCGCTATTCCAAGAAGATGTGGGAATTATTGAGATGTTTGTTGGTCCGCTAATGAGAAAACAATGGCTCTGACTTTATTCGTACGGCACTGCGAATATTATCTCAACGATCCTTCTCGAGTGGATTCCGTTGTTGTTGACAGAAAACCTCCTTAGAATACCGTGACTATTTGGAGACAAGTCCGTGAAATATTTCAACGAGAACCATTACGCGAAGATTTGAATTCTCAGGCATTATTCTATTCTCGATTATTCCCGCTTTCTCTCTCTCTCTCTCTCTCATTTCATGGATCTGAAAAATCGTTGATTAGTAAAACAACAGGCGACAATGGAACGGCATGCATTTGCCAACATTGTTTATCGAGATGCCTCTTAGGAGAGCGAACGTTCCTTTTTAGAATTTTCTCCGTTTAACCGATAACTTCTTAAATCTGCACGTAAAGCGACGGTGCGCACGGTGTACACAGGTACGTACTCTTATTGCCGAATGCTCGCTGAAGAATAATCGATCGCAAAGATTCCGTCGGAAAAATTGAAATTTCGCGACAACTCAATCGACTAACGTGTGTAATAATAATAATTAACGCAACCATGCCGTTAGTGCCGAATACCGCGTACTTTCCTCTTCTCAGCGTTTCGTTCATCCTGCCTGAGCGCGCAAACACACATATGTGTTCGATAAAACTACAAATGATATTTATACAATTTCATCGGCGTTACGTAACATCAACATCACCGAGAACGTTATTCGTTAACATATCGCGATAACTCATCGATAGATCACGTCCGGAAATAAGCGTAATAATATAGCAAAAAAGAGAACGAGACGACAAACGATCGAGCGAGTTTCCATTTAGCCAGTAATGTTCGCTGAATTTATCGCATCTGAGGATTCAGGGAACACGTATGCAGTGTGATGGTTAAAAACGCGTGCTCGAGACAATCCGTGTATCGATGATAAAATCAATATATGCAATCGAACGATCGTGTAGGAAAATAAAGTTTCTTTTTTATCTCTTTTTCTTTTCTTACGAGAAAAGTGGCCACGTAAAGCGGGTCTCTGATTTCCTTCTCGATGACCGAAGATGAAGACTGATAAACGCGCTGATATCGGCATATTCATTCAGCGATCGCGCCATGTATGTGTGGATGTCTGTGTATGTGTGTGTATATGTGTGTGTATGAAGAGAAAACAACGAATAATGAATATCTCTCATTAGACTTCTATATATTGCACTAGAACTTCTTTTTCCACTACCTAGTAGAATGGCAAATAGGCTATTACTCTCCTAGAAAATACTTATCCTCTTACATATGTACAATTTAAAAACCGCTACCGTGTTTATTTTTTTTTTTCACTTTTACCTTTAACTACTGCTAGTATTTTCGTCCTCCTGGACATCTCATCCTCCTCACGGGATATTTCTCCAACGTTGGGCACACATGACAAAACTCTCGCAACTGATTGTTCGATGTGAGACAAGAGATTTTCTTTTGTACGAAATACGTCATTGCCGAATTACATATATATTTGCAGGCGTACAAGGTCGAAATAGAATCAAATTAAGAAGGCAAGCGAGTAAGCAACATCCGCTTGTATCACGCTTGTTCACCTGCTTCCTACCTGCCAAGGCAGAGAGCGGATTTCCAATGTCAACTTTCCGGCCGGTTGACCCTCCTCCACCTGCCAACGCGGAGAATGGATTTCCGATGTTAACCCAAATCAACCAAACTCACTTTATTCCGATCACGGTGGAGATGCACTTTTCTACTTAAAAATAATCGATCCTCTAAATTTTAAAGCCGCGTTATATTTCAAGCGAAGTGTTGCAATATTAATCATCGATTCTTCCGTCTCGTATAATTCACATAATACATTTCAAAAGATACGTTCGACGAGACACCTTAAGAATTTGTTTTATCATCGTTGAGACGATGCCGGTGTTTCTCAACGAAACGAAATAAAAACCGCATTTACAGTCGTCGAAACGAATCACGCTGTGTCGCCCAACTTCTGGAGAATATATCGCTCAATTACGCGCGCGCGTAATCGTAGCGTAATCGTCTTTTCGTAGTGCCTTACCTTCTGCCAGGAGGGTGTCGATCTCTCGTACTCCGAGAATTTCGTTGTCGTCACACAGGACAGCGCAATTACGACGGATTCGTCGGCGAACAGAAAGAGATAGACACGACTATGACTGAGGATGATTCGACCTCGGATTATCCACGCGCTCTGTCGAGAAACGAAAACTCAAGACCACTATTTTCCCATCTCTTCTCGTACGCGCGTTCCCGGAGCGCTCTCACGCGACTCGCACGCAAACGACACACCGAGCGTCGTTCGCATCCCTGATATCGGATATCGATGAAGGAGATATTAGCCGTTGAGTATGAAAGCAGGATGTACCGAGGCGAGGAGGCGCGCGCCTCTCGCGCATTCTCGCGTGTTACGTCGTTTGCCCCCTTCTTCCTCCGTATTTTTCCTCCCCCCGTTTTCCCATTTTTACGAAAATAGTCCGCGAGGCGCACGGCGGATGCGCGGACGATCATAGAAAATACGAACAGAGTTTAATTAATTCGTTTACTATGTACTACGGTATTGCTTCAATATGATATGGTACAGTCTTTTCACTGATTGTCCAATATCACTACGTAAAACATTTTTCTTAGCTCTGTTAGTTTGTTTTCTCCTCTCTCTCTCTCTCTCTCACTCGTTTTTTCTACATTTTCTCATTCATTCACGCACACATTCTCTCTCTCTCTTTCTCATTTAATCCTTCTCTTTCTCTCCCCCTTCTCTCTTTCTTTTTTCTAAAAACCTCAACCCCTTTCTAGTTCCCTCTCGCATACGCATCACATTCGCTCGTTCACACGTGCGCTCTCGTTCTCTTCACTGTTTACACTGCACTGAGCGTCTCTCTCTTCATTAGGATTAATATCACTTTTTCTTCGGCGCGACGTATTTCCGCGCGTCGTCTTTTAATAACAATACGTACTTTATATTTTATGTTTCGAGTTGTACTTTTCAAGACGCGTCGGCAACTCCCCCTTCGGCGTTCGTCCGTCACGACGAACGGCCGTGATGGTGAGCGATCGAATAGAGTCTCTCTCTCTCTCTCTCTCTCCCCCCCTTCTCGCCCCATCGGGGGTGCGTCCCCCGACGATCGATCGTGCCTTCGATGATTATTGCCAAGTAAATTATTGCGGTGGTGACTCGGATGGTTTACGAGCGTTTCTCGATGCGCGTTTACCTCGCGACGTGGCAAGACGTTCTCGAATACTTCACCGCGCGATCACGTGGAACGTCATCATCCGCCATCGACGAAAAGTTACCAACGACGCGATTGTGTTGTTAGAAAGACGGGACCAACTTGAATATTTAATGACCTCTTAACGAAAGTTTGCGACACACCGTGTATCTCGGGCTGGCTCTCGTGCTGCTGCGACGATTGTGCATCGCGAGGGAGAAGAAAATCAATCGGGACGCGCGATATTTAAAACGGGCGAAAGTCGAATTTTTATAATATTGTTGAATATTTAACTATTTACCTAACAAAGGAATACGATATGCGAGCCATCGCTATTTGGATGTGGATTTACGCATTCGCGCGGCATGACACGCGTCGCAGTGTGTGGATTTCGCATATTCGTGCGCGAGAAATATGATCGTGAAATCGGCGCGAAACGGCGATTCCGGCCCCGTGGATGTTATACGGCGGGTGGGGTCGAAGAGCGAATGGCATCGTAAACTGTTTTATCGCGATCGTTCGTGGTGGTTTCTCGATCTCCCGTAGTTTTACGGACTACATCTATCTATCTATCTCTCTCTCTCTCTCTCTCTCTCTCTCTCTCTCGAAAACTTCGCCTGGGAGGGGAAAATATCCATTTTGGCGCGCGCGTGCTTGAGTTAAATTTCAAGTCTCCTGGCCCGGTTAAACAAACAAAAGATATCGCCGACACACGTATTTTACACGTGAAAGATTCAAACGCACACTCTGCGCGCGCGCGCACGGTACATCATATTTCTTCCCTCCTTTCCTTTTTTTATTTTTGTTTTTTTAACCGAAAACAACAGCGTCGGATAAAAAGCGCGCGAATCGGACTTGCAGAGCGCCCATAATGTTGTTATGCGACGCGCGAATCCATCCATCCATCCATCAACATACAACGTTTCCTGCTAATGCAAATGAAAAATACGAAGAAAGCGCTGATGTACGTTCCCCCCTCCGAACGCATCTCTCTCTCCATTATCCAAAAATCATACCGCTGAAAGCGTCATGCATTATTGCGGCTGTTTTTTCCCGGTGATTCGCGCCTTGTTTTTTTATTACGCGGACGAAAGTTGTTTTTCCGTCCCGCTCGACGTTCCTCCGATTAATCGGAGAATTGGAAACGCTCGCAAACGCGAGTCATCGAGAGAGAGAGAGAGTCGCTCTCGGCCGACGAGTCAAGAATAGCTCCCTGCAACCGGTGACTTCCGGAAAGTATGCGCAGCGATAACAGGCTGTGACAGTCCGACTGTCGCGTACCGATAGTCTGCCCGCAGTGTCGAGTGTCCTCACGGCCATCCTTGAAACTCGGCCAGGGGTTCGGGTTTAGGCTCGAGACTGGGCAGCTGGTACGGTCAGTTCTGCTGTCACAAGCCACCCTCGGGTCAATGCTGGGCCGCGAACTTCATGCGCTTCTGCTTCTGCCGCTGGTTGCAGAACCAGACCCTGACGACGTTCTTCTTGAGGTCGAGCTTCTCCGCGATCGCGGCGATCTTCTCGCCGGACGGCCGGGGCTGCACCGCGAAGTACGCCTCCAACGAGCGTTTCTCCGGCGCGGCGATGCTCGTCCGTTTCCGCTTCTTCTCGCCGGCGGGCAGGACCGACGGCGCGTCCGGGTCGCGCCGCTTGTTCTTCGCCTGGGCCTCTGCCTCCTCCAGCCAGGCCTGCAGGATCGGCTTGAGGGCGATCATGTTGTTGTGCGAGAGTGTGAGCGACTCGAAGCGGCAGATGGTGGACTGCGAGAGCGCGCCGACGCCCGGCAGCTTGAGGTTCGCGAGCGCCTTGCCGACGTCGGCCTGCGTCACGCCCAGCTTGATGCGCCGCTGCTTGAACCGCTCGGCGAAGGCCTCGAGCTCCCGCGGGTCGGTGTCCGCGTCCGGGTGGAGGCCGGCGACGGCCGCTGCCGCGGCCGCCGCCGCCATCGCCGGGTGATGGTGGGCCGGGTGCGGCACGCTGCCGCCGCCGCTGCCGAGATTGCCGTGGTGATGGTGGTGGCTCATCATGCCGTTCATGCCGCCGTAGACGGAGGGCCCGTGGATGCCGGTGTGGTGCCCGGGCCCGCCGCCCGTGCTCTCGGACATCGGCGTCAGGGTCGTCATCGAGTTCGCTGGGTCCAACATGTCGAGGCTCTCCATCCCCGGGTGGCCCATCTGGAACAGAGACGAAAGTTCGTCGGAGAGATTTTTTTCCGTACTTAATCAAGATATAAGGCGGGGGAAATTCATGTCGCGATAATTATACACTTGGCGTGTAAATCTGAAGAAACTCGTAATAATCAGGTGAGTAAATGCACGGGGGATAAGATGGGAAACGGAGAGAGAGAGAGAGAGAGATGCGCGCGTCGTATTTGCGGAAATGCATTTTGACGGAGCGGTGGGGAAGGCATGAATGAAGGGGATAAAAAGTAAAGTTAAGTCGAGTGCGGCGGAAAGAGCAGGAAATATGTACAAGCTAACACGCATAATTATGCAGCACGTGCCGCGGCCGTCGTCACGAATGCAGAACGCAGTCTTCCATGAGCGCAACTCTACGCAAATTATTTATGAACTCCTTTCATATTTTTCCCCGCTTAAAGTGCCGTTACATAGGTGGCATGCTGCTAACTCGCCTCCCTCAGACCGATATCGCATCTGTTAATACGAGGCGAAAGAGAGAGAGAGAGAGGGCGACGAATGAAACGGAACAAATCGCGGGTAGATACGTAAGAACGGACGATAATTCGTTCCATCGCCGGGTGAATATGTAAAATCGATCACGCGATATACCGATAGGACCGTTAAAAAACGGTTTGCTCGTCGTGTGTAATTTACATCAAGTACGTAGATATATTATTGAACTCCAGCCGAAATCCTAATTCCCGATGCATAATTCATTAATTGTGTGTGTGTGTGTCTCCTCTAATACTTAACTACGCGCACGGTATATCACCACGCACGCACGCGTTGTACGACCTTGTTTGCACACATAGAGAATCATTTGGTCTCACGAGAATATACTACCGAGTTAACTAGATAGCATGGTTTTCGACCATGGTTGCTCGGGGACGGGACATGTAATTGGAATTAGTTTACGGGAGCATATTTAAGAAACAAGGTGTTCTTTATATATGCACTACGGGCGTAAGGAACAACCGAAAGCCACGCAGAGAGAAAGAATTTCTTTAGATTTAATATTTTTATTTATTTCGCTCAAATTCTCGTAGGAACAACACATATGAAATATTATTTGAGTAAAAATTGTATTGTCTCGTTCGAGAAAACTCTATTATTTAACAGAAAAAACGCTATTATTGGAAATAATATCTTTTAACGAAATAAAATACTATCTGTTCACAATAAATATGTAAAATGAAACAATTTATAAGAAAATTGTCTTTCGTTTCGAACAAATCTTTCATTCAAGATACATACTCGTTGAAACAATCGTACTTATTAATCGAATTCATTAGTTTCTTCGGAACATGCCAATGATGAAATTTGTTCGGATGCGATAAAATTTGTTAAATTTGAAGAAATCTTTTTCTCAGCGCGGGACACGCGTATCAAATGAAACTTCCGAGGGAAGCATTTTTCTTGAGAAAACATTGCTTCACCGATGATTCTCCGCCAAGTATCGATACCCTCGCCAGTCAGGCTACTCTCCTACATCCCGTATCGATTACCGGCTTTTAGCCTTAAATGCAATACATCAAGTCCGCGTGATACCGAAAAATCTGAAATATCGCTATAAAAATCGTCGCTGAAAATATCTACGTACTCTCCTCTCGCGCATACAAGCGCGTAACGCACACACAATCCGGCCATTATCTCACGTACATACGTAAGTGCTCGTACGACCTCGCGAGGCACACCGGCTTACACACGTATACACGCCTAGGCAACACGCGCATCATCTATTCTCATGAGAATAGCAGTATAGTGAGCTAACTGGATGGCACGGTTTCGGTCGGCGGTGGTGGCGGTGCTCTGGGATAGCACAGTTACATCAGAAATGCAGGGTGGTGCGCGCGCGGGGGTGCGCCGCCGGCACGACGGGCAGCGTGGAAAAGGCAGAAGGTGGAGGCTGTCGGGAGCACCGCCGGCAAATATACAGCGAACGGGGGACGTACGAGCCCAGGGGCGTACGAGCTAGGGCCCCGGGGACCCGCGCAATATTTCATCATTACGCTGACACGATGGTAGGGTTAGCCCGGCTTCTCCTGTGTTTTGCTCTTTCTCCTTGCTCTATTGCCCACCTCACCCCCTAATTTTTCTTTCTTCCCTCCTTGCGTTCAGCGCACCCTGCTCACCAACCCCCCGCCTCGGAGTCGCGTGCGCGCTTGTTGATGCTGTTTCTATCTTCCTATTTCGTTTCTCTCCCCCCCCCCCCCNTCTTTTCTTTTCCCACTTTTTTTTATATTTGCGCGTCTGAAAATTATAGAGGAGAAGATGGCCCATTTACATTTTATACAATAATTAATATCTTAAATTAACAACTACATGCGTCACATTGTTCAATCGATTCTAGATTTAAAGTTATGAATTGTTTATTGTTTAAGACACTATTCGTGCAATAATACGCCAGAGGAGTATTTTAGAGGAGTCCTCCTTTTTCCTTTAAGAGTAGTGAGGATATATGTATAATTAAATGCTAAAACGTATCTTGAAAATGTTTCGAAATGCTCGAAAGTAAATATGCGTCATAACAAATAGCGACTATTGTATATTGACATATTAGCGTCACCGTATAACAGCTACTGAATAAATGATTCCATAAGTAATCATTAGAACCCGTCACCTAATAGCGGAGACATTAATTATTCATTCGCTTCTTCATCTTCTTCCGTTTCTTCTTTTCCTTAAATTTCGCACACGCCCCCTCCGAAATTGTGCGTTCGCACATTTATCAAAGCGCGTTACATGTGTAACAACGCCGCATTGCCACGCGTGTGCACCCGCCAGCCGGCGGATTGAATTCGTCAGCCCGGCCAGCATATAAAAACAGACTTTATGAGACACTTACTGTGTGTGACCATCTGTGCGTGGGTGGAAGAAATGAACCGATTGAATTACTAGCCTTTCGACCAACCCTCCCTCCGTGGACTTTTCTCCGGAACTCTCATGCAATTTTTCACACTTTCCTCCAATTCAACAGATTCAATCGCGAAAATGCCGAAGATGAACGTCGCTGCGACTCGAAGCGAGTCATTTCTCGCGTGTCTCGATGCGGCGCGGGGGGGAAGGGAAATCACGAGGAGCGATTTATGACGGCGAAATCATGCACGCAAATCCGCGGGAGAAACCGAGAAGTTAAACAAAAGCCGCGTGGAGAGAGAGAGAACCCGGACCGCTGCCACCCTTAGAATTCATCGCGTTCCATCGGGAGCATTACAAGCAGTCGCGACACGGAGATAATATACAAGCGACGCCCCTACATTTGAGAAGATCATTCCGGGTCGGTGCGCATTGCTTACCCCCCGACCGGCCCGCTGTCGCCCTCCATTCATCGGCATCGCTCAGATTAGCATAAGGCGACAAATTGAAATGCGATTCGCGCGGAATCGTATACGATACGTATCGCGTCCGCTTCCTAAGCGGCGGGTAATCACCGCCGCGAAATTATCGCGGCCGGCGAGCGCGCGCGACGCGCGGTTATAAATATAATGCGGCTTATTAACGATTGAAACACCGAGGAAATTAAAATCGTTGCGCCCGCATTGTTCGCAATATTAACAAATAAACTGCGTAAATTAAATTTTTCAATCCGCCGATTAAATATGAATCCCAATTAATTGCCGCGTGTAATTAATTATTGCTAACGATTTTAACTGACTGTTGGATTCGTTGCGTTTTATGGATGCACCATCACCGTTGCACAGGGTTTACGAAACTGCGGCAGCGGCCCCTCCCCACCCCTTTTTCTCTCTCTCTCTCTCTCTCCGCCGAGTTTTGTTACAATAATTGTTTCACGTACAGACAATTTCTATCACCGGCGATTTATCCAGGGTTTTGTCGAAAAGCACTAAATGTCTGAGCACAATAGTTATATCTAAAGAAAAAAATAATACAAAGGAAAAAAATTGCGTCCCGCTTAATTAGCGTAGATTTTTCCACCGCATTCTAGTGGTGTAATAATTTGCAATGCAATTTATATAATGTTATTAGCATTTGCCTTCTCTTTTTATTACCACGAACAATTTAATGTTTCGACGAAAATTCTAAGCCAATTATCCGAATGATGATGAATTTCGCTGTCGGTCGACTTGCAGATTCTTCATTAAAATTATTATTCCTCAATCGGGATTGTTTTCATGCGAAGAACGGAGTGAGCTCGGCCAACGTCGCTTTAATATTCCCGCGAATTACGCGCCACGCAAAAGCGAAGTATACGGAGATAACAGGGAATGTGTTATACGCTGTCGAGAACGCGAGCGAAAATTCATTTCCTCCTCTGGACGCGCGCGCACGAAATTCGTCGGCGTGTGGAAACCGCGTGGAATTCGAACAAACAATCATTCCTATGAATCTTTAAACCCCGATAACATTGTGAAAAAATCTGAGAGATCGAAAATATATCTTTCGATCGATTTTTCGAATGAGGGAGCTCTATCAAAGACTTGACACACACATTTACATATCCCGTCTACAGTCGCATAGAATAGAGGTATAATGTATCATAAATGCGGACTCACAAGGAGATGTGATTGTACCTGATGATGTGGCCGGTTATTCGGATGGGGTGTGGGCATGTGTGGTCCGTGATGATACACGGACACGGGGTCGTGCTTGAGCGGCATCGGCGTCCCGGAATTGTGCTTCAGATCCGCCGCCAGAGCCTCCGCTCTTTGTAGCAAGCCATCTTGCAAACCACTGTTCAAGCCGCCAAACAGATCACCCTGAAACACAAGGTGTCCATCATATTAAATCGCATCTTATTACGCGCAACTGTTGGAGACGCTGAATCGATCCACTCGAGTTTACACCCGAGTCGAAATTTCGATGCTACTCTGAAATTTATTGCAATCCTGTTTGTTGAATCAAACGTTCGTTTGCTCGTTTCCGTTAAAAAAAGACAAATTTGTTTTAATTAACGAAATTTCACTAAATCCAAAGGAATCCTTTTCTCTGTGTACTGCGTTGCAAAATTAAAGATTTAACGCAAATTTCGACTGGAATAGTTCCGACAGAAGGAAATTCACGCGAAATAAAAGACAACAAATTATGCATCGTCGTAATTCGCGTATGCAAATTGGATTTCTTTGTACGATCATAGCGCGAATACGTGTTCGTTATACTATGACTCGTTATTTACCGCGCGAGCTCTCTTTTATTGAATTTAAATTCAATCCGTTCGGCGGATTGTCTGGGCAACAACCAGTGCCGAACGGCAACATGGCTGGTGCGCGATCGATATTCCGAAAATAGTTTTGTTATCCGAGAGACGTGGATTGCTGTTTCGCGAGTGTTTTAGGGTCCTGCAAAAATTCCGTCGCGTTCGCTGAAGCCACACTTCGAAGCTCAGGGGGATTTCCATTATTGCGCAATTATGCAGATCTAACAGACGGGCTCATTAAGAGCATTTCGACGCAACGGAGGCGATAGACGGCTTATATCTCGTCTTCTAACGTGCAAACGCGTCATTCTGTGACACACGCTCGTGACATCTATTTTTCTTTTTTTTTTAATATCCTTTACCGCGAGCACAACGTGTCCAGCTCCTGCTGAATCGCGCACGATCCTCCTTTTACACATCCACCCTACTGCTGTATACATTGATTTCTTCAAATTTAATCCGTTTTATCGCGTCCAAACAAATTTCATCATTGGCGTGCTCCGAAGAAACTAATGTTTCGATTAATAATTAGCCCAATTGTCAGACTTCTCAACGAATATGTGTGTCTTTATCTTTAACAACAATAATTCGTTCAAAACGAAAGGCAATTTTCTCATAAAGAAATTATTTGTTTCATTTTACACATTTATCGTAGCCAAATAATATTTTATTTAGTTAAAAGATATTATTTAAAATAATAATGTTCTGTCCTTTAAATAATAATTTTCTTGAATGAGACGACAAAGTTTTTACCCAAACAAATGATATTTCGTATATGTTGTTTCTATGAGACAAATTTTAGTCGAATACATAGAAATACTAAATCTGAAGAAACCTTTTTCTCTGTGTGATAATTCCGAAACGCGGCGAGAACGGAACGCATAATTGGAAAAATATGGCGATATCTGCGCGACATTAAGTTACGATCCCGCCGCGCCGCGGTAACGTCATTATATATCAGCCGGTACACATGCCCCGTATGATGTACGGTAATCAAATTCATCCGTTACACGTTAACTGGAATCGATCCGAAGGATGGATACTTGACCGGGTGGCCCCGGGGGACGGTGGACAGAATACATCCGTCAGTATCGTCCGCGGCGAGGCTGCACGTCGGGGGGGATCATCCCGATTCCCTTCCGCGTGTGTTTGGCCAGCGAGATACAGAGTCCCCCTCGGCCAAAGTCAACATTTAATGGTAACGAAAATAGCTTAAACTACGGCGCTCTACGGCGAAATTTATGAGCAGCGCGGAACGGAGAGTAACGAGAGGGGCGGGTGTGATTTCATTTCATGGCGCGTTATGCGCCCAGGAGGGTTGACCAAAATTTCCTTTTTACGCGTCCGCACCTATCCCGCGCGAGCCAACTCTCGTTCTCGTTTGTCACGCGCCGCGCTCGATCGGTTTTTTTTTGCTCTTTTCATTTTTGTTTCCTTTGGTAAAGAAAACATTTTGCGTACTCAAAATCGGCCCTTGTTGATGCTTTTGTGTGAAATTGTTAACATACCAGTCTGCTGATTTAATACATTGGTAATTTATGTATTGTCTACGTGACGTTTACACGGACTTTTTTATGTAGACTGCTTTTATGTAGAATGCAAAATATTATATTAATTATATAACACGAAGATAAAAGATAAATTATTAGTCTAAATTAGTTGAAAATAGCCCACGTATCCGAATTCGCTGTTAATTATTGAAGATATTTAATATTATAAATTGAAAAGTTGACACATGTACGTAGCGCAGATATTGTATCATTTAAATTCACCTGTGGGCCTTTTTAAACGGGAAAAAGCACTGTTCTTTAATTCGTAATTACAACACGTGTTATTATTCTCTTTTTATCAATGCGAAATCAAGTTTGCCAAATTCACTATTGATTTTTCGTGGCACCGTTAAATACTAAAATTGTGCTATTACGAAAAATACTTAAATCAAGTAATTTCACCAATTTTTAATAGGTTATATCAAGTTGAGTTATTAGATATAATCCACCTTGCGCTTCTTTAAAATATTTCTATAGTAATGTGAAAGGTAGACACGCTGTTAATGCAAATATTATCATTTAAGTTTAACTGTGAGTTTCCAGCAGAAACAAAACATTTAAATAATAAGACTTAGAAAATATGAGAAGAAAACGAAACATTCTATAACGGTTTATAGATTACTCATTGTCTACATAGAAGATAATTAGTTTACATTGTTTACGCGTAAACGCCCAATTCCAATATTCTATTAATATCAAATCGATATTAGCATCTGCATTGAGAAGAAGATTTCTTCAAATTTCATAAATTTTATTGCATCCAAACAAATTTCATTATTGGCACGCTCCAAAGAAACTAATGTTTCGATTAATAAGCACGATTGCGAAACTTCAACGAATATGTATTTTTACTTTAAATAAAAAATTTATTCGATACGAAAGATAATTTTCTTGCAAAGAAATTATTCGTTCCATTTTACATATTTATTGTGATCAGATAATATTTTATTTGTTTAAAAGATATGATTTCAAATATTAGCGTTCTTTCTCTTCAAATAAGAGTTTTTTTGAATGAGACAATAAAATTTCTACTCAAACAAATAATATTTCGTATATATATTGTTGCTTCTATGAAACGAATTTTAGTCAAGTAAATAGAAAATCTAAAGATACCTTTTGCTCTATGCGTACAGTAAAAAAATTTTGTGTTAAAAACGGTCCACTCAAATTTCGTGTTACTTTAACGTGGGGGGGAGGGGGGAGAGGGATGTGTTAAAAAGTACACAAATATAATATCGAATTAACCCATTCACCTTGTCAACACGTGTTCCCCGTGTTAAAATAACAGGAAATTTCAGTGGACCGTTTTTAACACAAAATTTTCCACTCTATAGTTCTGCTGTTTTACTAAAAATCGGTATACTGAGAGGCAATATCTCGTCATAACCAGCCGTTACTTCCCAGTTGACTTTTTACTTGTATTTATTTTTATTGATTTCTCCTTTCGCGCAAGTAACTCCTCGTAAAGCTCAGTCGACGGTCGGTGGGCTCGTTTCGACGCGCATCATCATCGGCGCGCGGCGATAATTAGAACGATATGAAAATATCGTTAGCCGGGCCGCGGCGCGAGCGCGAGTGAAGCTAAAAGTGATTCACTGCCCACTTATTTCATTATACGACCTGTAATGTCCGCATCGGCCGATCAATGTTTCATGCGGAAACCACTGGCTGGTGTGTTCCAGCGCTTCGATTATTTATGAACTCCTCGTGTCTTCGTCGGGGCTACGGCGTACCTACCGGCGTAGGTACCGTGTTCGTAGGTTGCTGAACCGCCGTTATTTCTTTTTCTAATACCAAAATCTCCCTCCTCTCTCTTGCCCACGGCGCGGGGTATTTCGTCGGTGTTGACGAACCGGACGCAACGCTATCGATGGAGATGTCACGGTAGATGCCGGGCGTTAAATCACGTTACGCGAATCCGTCGCGGCGCGTCAAAGAAAATTTCAGCGCCCCCCCCGTCAAAGTCGAATCTCCCTTTCTCTCTCTTTCGTCGGACGAATTGGGAGGAAAATGATGAAAGTGATTGCACGATACGCGCGACTGCACGCTTTTTTTTTCTTTCTTTTTCTTTTTAATTGAGCTCGATCGCAAATGCGTACGCGTTGTCCGTCGAAACACACGCGATATATGCGTCATTAAATATTCATGAGTCCAGTCGATTAAATTGTCTTTGCGGACAATTTTCCTGCTCTCCGATACTTTTCGAAAGAGAGAGAGAGGTACAATGACATGTACTTATATAACTGAACTACAAAAGAAACGAATAACTGTTATAGTTGTCGCCGTCGCCGGTATATCGTATGTATAAGAAGCGAAGCGGACTATAAGTGACTTCGATGGTCATCCGCCTTGATATTCTCATGTATAATACACACGGTGTGCCCCAAAACCAGCGAATGTCCTTTCACTACAGATTCTTTCGGCCGATTCGATATTTCCCTCTCTCTCTCTCTCTCTCTTGAGTCTGTGCGTAATAAATGGTAATGGTGACGAGAGAAGGACGAGAAATGACGCGGGTAAGAATCCGCGGGAACAGGTTTAATGAAATAAATCGTTAGTTGAGCGTGTCGTCTGCGGGAATGAAACAACCACTCTCACGTGGAAATATTGATGCGAAGCGGCGCGCCTGTAACTTGCCAGCCGACGACGACGTTTTTCACGCGGACGTGTTGCTTAATCGAAGCATTAGCAGACCGATAAATCACAGTTCACGGCTAAGGGGCAATGTACGATGGACCCTCTTTCAGCGTGATACTGGAACGGCAGTCACTCGATCTTCATGCGTGCGCACGAGGAGTCCAAGTTCGCAGGCCGGGGAGAGACGGCCCGGTAAAATATGTCTCGCATTATCGCTTTCTTCATCTCCATCAACGCACACCCGTTTCCCTTTGGCTCGTTTCGTCCGAATTCATTCAGTTGAAATATCGTTATTCAACTGGGATCGTGTTAATTGCGACGGGCCAAGGATGATAATCGGCCACTCCGTCTCTCGCGGAGAGTATGATCGGCGAAACTTGAAATCGCTGAAAATTCATCACATCTCGATCAATTAGTCAGCGTTTTCTTTCCCCGTCGCACTGTATGGTTAATTCAAAATATACGTGATATACTATGAAGGAAGACTTAATGGAGTTAGCGAGGGAGGGGGGGGGGAGATACGGATTGCTCTTGTTAGCCACATAGTTAACACCTTGTTGCCCCCCCGTTGTTTAGCAAAGTTTCTTCCCCTTCGCGCGCGATTCTCCACGTCGTCGTGGTTAATAGAGTCATTTTTCGACGCTGCCGACCCCAGTGGACTAAATACGTCTTCCGGGCGGAGGAGAGCCAGTGCGGTATCATAAGGATTAGCCAATTACAATTGAATTACACGGACCCTGACGGTGGTCCGTGTAATTTATCCGCGAGGAGCGCGCACAGCATCAACGGAATTGTGAATGATTAACGCGCTTGATAACAAGGTGGCACTGAATCATGCAGCGGCGTCGCGCATCAACAGCTTTAAGGTTTCAAAAAGCGGACGAGCGAGATTAAAACCCCCCGGCGAAGGGTAAGAACAACAGTGAGGGGGAG